TTTTTTGTGATGTTTATTAAAATATTCTATATATAGTTCTGTTTCATTAGTAATGTGGTTAGAACACACATTATTTAGAACTTCTACCAAAGATCATGACATTTGGACAGGTAGCAGTCAAACGAGGAAGTAATAATACACTTCCTTGACTGTTTTGCACAATCTTTCTTAGCCGTATTTTATTTCAACCAAATTATGAAATATATAAACTTGCACTGTGGAAATATAAAAATAAATTATTGTATGAATAGCTGTAAAACTACATTTATTTATTGTCCTGTAACATCGTGGAGGTATCTAGCTGTACAACACAGTCATGGACATGTCTAGCTGTAAAACTACATTTATTTGTTGTCCTGTCACATCGTGGAGGTATCTTAGCTGTACAACACAGTCATGGACATGTCCAACTGTAAAACTACATTTATTTATTGTCCTGTCACATCGTGGAGGTATCTAGCTGTACAACACAGTCATGGACATGTCTAGCTGTAAAACTACATTTATTTGTTGTCCTGCCACTCCGTATGTTTGACTAAATTTTTTCCAGATGAATTTTATTCTCTTCTTGCATTTAACTTGGTGCCTTGTTGCCTTTTTTTTTCTGTAAACCCGTGTTGTTATTTACAACTAGCAGAAGTAATGTCAGGCTTTTGTTTCTTTAGATCGTGCTCAAGAAGAGGAGGATTCTGATGAAGATGAAGAGGAGGAAGATGATTATGATCCTGGTTTGTGATATTTTTTGTTTCATTCTAGTGCAAAAGAAAATGTAAAAAGATAATCACAATAATGTATAAAACTTGAATGTTCTTCATTAATTTCAAGTCAGTTGATTGTATTGAAAATTTTTATAACTTACAAAGAAATTGCTTACATCTTTTTATCAGAATTAATGCTAATATGAGGAGAAAGAAAACATAGCTGGGTATTATCGTTAGCCTTGTGTTTAGATTGTTTCTGAAATGTCAGTGTATTGTTAATTGCTACCACATATTTGTAGAATGTTTGTTAATTTTTTTCTATTATACATGTAGTTTTTGTGATCATGTTTTGCATGAAAAAAGATGTTTTACATGCACCCAACTATTTATAAGTCTCAAAAATTATCTTGAACAACTAAGTTTTGCATCTTTAGTGTAGTACTAGACACAGATTTTGCCTTTTAAATTTTGAGAGTAGTCACAATAAAAAAATGAATAAGTTACTAGTGACACGAAGATTAGAGGATTAAATTCTCACCAATAAAATAATAGAAAATTTTATGGTCAAAACTTGTAACTTGGTTTTTAGTTATTTTAACAGAAGCAAGCACTTAATGAATCAAAGTGTTTTTAAGTAAAAAAAAAAACTATCAACCAGAAAGTACTGTTTCAGTTGATGCACCACTCTTATTCATGCATGTTTTATTTTAATTAGTACAACACATCTTAAGTATTCTGAATAAAGAAGTTTTATTTATTAACAACATTAAAAAAATTCAAACCAACTTGAACCTGGAATGACTTAGTGGTTAGAATTCTTGGCTTGTAAGATGTTGGTCGTAGGATTGAAATCCTTCACACCATAAATGCTTGTTCATTCTGACGTGTGGGCTTGTAAGATATTGGTCGTAGGATTGAAATCCTTCACACCATAAATGCTTGTTCATTCTGGCATGTGGGAATAATATGAATTATAATTGTTGATATAGAGCAGCCTATGAATTGTCACAGTTGGTGGTGTTGACTAGCTGCTTTCTTGTATCATTTCTAAATTAGAGATGGCTAGCACAGGTAGCTCTCGAGTAGCTTTGCATGAAGTTCAACAAAGAAACTGTATTATGGTAGGTTGGCAACAAAATACATGGGGGGTTTATAGATGATAGTTTCTTCACAAGCTTTCACATGCTGCATTTCACTTATCTTCAAGCCTAATTAACCTTTTGGACTTTGGTCAGAATAGTGTGTGTGTGTGGAAGGAGATAGAGAAACAGTTTAATATATGTGATTTATTTGTATTTTAGTGGTTTACTTATATTTATTTAGCCTGTCACCAAATAGTCAGATGCCCACAGTCTGTTAGAGAGAAGGAACTGTAGAATTGTTGTCAGTAAAAGTGTATATATAATTACAGCTTGTAAACATCAATGCATTTTTCTGTGATGCAGTAACGTACATCATTTTGTATTAACATATATCAATAATGTTAATAAATTACAAAAACACACTTCCAGAACAGTGTAAACTTTCCACAAAAATAAGTTCACAGTTTGAGTAAGTGACTGTGTAGAAGTAAAAAAATTTCCTTATAAAGAAAGTTAAAACTCCTAAACATTTAAGAAATATTCAGAATAGTTTTCTTTTCGAAGCTTGCCTACACACACTATACTTCTGTTTCATAATCTAATAATTAACTTGTTTTTAACCTTATTTTGACTATCATATTTACTAACATCACAGTTTTGAGTAATTGGTACCTGTTATTTTACAGGTTTGTCGATAATGAAAAAATTTCTAAATTGAATTTTTTACCCCTCGTGAAAACTTTTAATGCCAAATTGTAAAGGTTTTTCTTAACC